TCATTGACTGCAAGCTGCCTTATAATGAACTAGAACAGATCGAACGCTCTGGGAATTCTCCTTACATTCGGGGTTGTTATGTGACGTATCTGGTGCTGGAAGCCCACGGTTGTTTTGACACGGTCTAATCGTCTACATTCTATATATTTCTCATTAGTTTGGCATGGTTTGGCAACGATATGTTAGGCAAGTATGAATTTGATTGTGAGTAATATTCATTTTCTTTACCGTTCACTCGAGCTGCACGGTTGACAGATTCGCAATTGCGAGGGACATAAACAGTGCCGATGGGTCCAGTAAAGAGTCGAATTCACTCAATGTTGTCACTACAGTGATATCAACCGGCACCTGTTAGGGAAGCAAAACGTGCTTTTTTCAACAGCTGATTACCGGCCCGACACGACAGATATGATGCTAAGATTTTGTAACCAAAATTTAGCTTTGGGTTACCGGCTGCCCAATTTGTATGCAAACCAGTTGAATATCGGACTATAAACAGGTGGTATCCCTCGGAATACCTGTATTCTCTGTGCCAAGACACACCAACTCCATCCTTTGCAGCTACATTATATATATATATATATATATATATATATATAGTTCATTGCTGATTATTTATTTACTTATTTACTATACTTTCTTCCATTAAATGAGTGGCTAAAATGTATAGATCTTGTTCAAAACGTGAGAAGAAAAGGTAATTGTTTTTTTGCTACCGATCTGAACATCCTAGGTACGTTTGGTGAAACAACCAGACAAAAGAAGAAACGAGCCCTTGCATGTCAATGAACCAGGTCCGATCCTTTGTCTCAGAATTGTATTGCTAAAGCTACGAAACGAATGCGAGCACGTTTGCTTTGGCCGTCCTGACAGCCCTTAAAATTTGACACGTTAAATAAGCAACAGCATCCTTCATGTTTGTAAGCAAACTGACATACAGAATCGGAGGGACCCATCTGGGGTTTCTCAATAGTGTGCCTTTTTATCAGCTTAAGCAGGACAGAAAACAATGAAATGTGTTTTGTATTCATGACACTCCAGTGGCTTCATTTGCTTACTTTCCCCGATATAATTTTTCGGGTTCTTACAACGTTCTGGTCAAAATTCTGTAGTGAAACCCTACGGTTCTGATCCATTCCTAGTAGTTTTACTATAGGAAGTACATCACAGGTCTTCTGAGCTATCATAGAAAATGAAGTGTACGCACTGGTCCTTTGCTAAGCATATGCTGAAGTCTGCTTTTCTTGGTTTTCAATCAGTAAGACTATACAAGTGATTGTGTTGCGCACTTGCAAATGGTTATTTGTCATAGTAAAACTGATAAAAGCACCCACAGCACGCCGTTTTTATTCAAGTTAGGACATCTAAACTTTGCTCATAAAATTAGGTTTCGCAGTTAACCATTGATTTTCAGACAACCTGTTTCGGAATATTCTCACTGTTTCATTAACCAAACCTGAAATCACTTACCACCGTGTGAAGATGATATATTTGTATATGTGTTCACACCGCTGTCGCATGACCAGTCATCTTCCTGCCCTGACTTGATCTTTCTGCTTGCTTCTCGTCAAAGACGGAAACATGTTACATGATTTTTACCTTTATTACAGCTGATCTGTAGTGTGTCCCCGGCAATGCCAGGGGTTGAACCACCGCAACCGGACATTCGAGACAAAAGCTGCATGCTGGACTCACCCGAATTATTGAAACCGAGCGGACGAATGTGTTCACGCTTCACTGATGTGATTAGTTTGTCCTACTATCCAAACCAGGGCGCTTTTGCTTTAGAAAATCCACAAATCCGAAACCAACCACGAATAACACGCTCACGTGAATGAAACAACCGTCAATAGCGATGTTTGTACAGACACGGTGCACACTGGACCACGCCTGAATCCATTTGTTTATCTTTGTGACTACGCCTGCTAAACATGAGTCTTTGCGCTACTCGAGGTAAATTTGTAGCGTATAGTTTCACAGTTTAATTCACACTTGTCATACGAGCACGGTTAAGTAGCTCCGTGTGTTTCAGAGTAGATAGAAGCTGTTGCTTGTCCAACTTAGCTTAAGACAATTAGTAATTTATCCTGACAACCGTCTGATGACCAGCCAACGATTAGAATAACCAGTGGCAAGGAATTTGAGTAAAAATCTCCTCCCGAGTGAATGTGGAACAAACACTCCCATTACATAGTTGACCTGACGATTCTATGGGACTTCTTCAGTGCCCTGAGAAACATGGTACACGATCCAAAATCAAGGCACTATTCACCCACGAAAAGTTTCTGGAACAGAACGATAAATTTTCAGTGAATGCAATGATGGAGAACGAATGCTAGGAGGAGGAAGAGAGAGAGAGCGATCTCAGCCTTACGGTATAAAAAGCTAGGCGTCGAACTCCAGATAAGACAACACTGACATAGTTGGAAGCAACTGCAGTCACTTTGCCTCCAACAGTTAATCACAGCTGGCTGACCAATAACAAGTAGTTTCCAGCGGAGCTTGAAGTTATTATATGCACCCGATGGTGGGAACAGCGACTGAACTAATTAGACAAGAGCGTCGATTATGGCACAAAACTGGAGTGATGCAGAAGTGTACAAGTCCTGGTCTCCTGATTCAGAAGCATACTCTCAGCCAAATTTAAAGGAACGCAGAGGCATTCAATTGACGCAGAATTTGTTTTCCAATTCTCCACCGCATATTTCACCCCAGCCACATTCGTGTAGTCTGATATTTGTACACTTGAAAGATACACATTAAACAGAACGGATATTGTTTTTGTGAGGGGGAAGGTTGAATTCAAAACACGACTTAGCGGAACAAGATGATATAATCTGACGCTTCGGTTACCATGGGCAACCAAGGGTTGCAACGACTGTCAGTACCGATATGGATAGTTTTAAAACAAAACACGGGTAGAACAGAAAATATTGGTTTGACGTCGACAGTATTTTGAAGAAAGACAGAAGTGGATTTGATAAATATTGACAACGGGCGTCCAAGAACACGAAGGATGAGTGAAAATAAGCGCCTGGAACGGTCCCCCAGTGAAAATTTCAGTCCAAATAATTTCCCACATTCCAGCAATCCGTCTGTGCAATTGAACGATATTGGTGTCCAGCACATTGTGGAAGTCATGCAAGGAGATCACTTATGGAAGTGACATATTTGTTGTTAAGGTGGTGGTCAATGGAGTGACGAATCAGCTTTGGAGTTCAGGCAACTGACCTCAATAGTCCGTTTGGTAGAACGCCCATCTGGTAAGCCCTAATTCGACATTCATCCCTAAGCGTGCCTTTTCCGTCACACTGCTCATACTTGGAGTTCCTTTTTCAGTAGGCCGAGGGATAAAGGATATCTGCAAAAATCGACGGTTGGGATCACAGTTTTAAGAGTACCCAGCTAACTGATGAACGATTTCTGTTTACGACTCGGTTGACCTCACCTTCCACCAGGCCTGTGGTTCTCCTTGTAGAAACCTAAAGTGATTAAATTAAATAGTGCGGTAAGTGGATGAGCAGAAAAGATTTTGATATTACTATAAAATATCTGCTCAAGTTATGCGTCCGGTCATGTGGACCGGTAAGAGCAGTCAGGCCAGCAACGATGCAACGAGATCGGTCAGCATAGGAAGAATGTTGGCGGAAATTCAGGGAGCGAATTTAAAGGATTTCAGTACTGAACTACCAATTATCGTAGAAAAGTAGGTAAAACGACTTAATTGTAATTGCTTTAGAAGCGGAGCGCTTCGTTTCATTCTAACAATCAGTTTTGCGAACTCGCTTGTACTGCGTTACAGCCGATTAAACACTTTTCAATTTGGCCTTTTCCTGCGGAATAATCAAGTCCTCATTTGTCTCAGATTTTTGGTTTAGCTGCTCAGTTGTGAACTTCCGGTGTTCAATATACAGTTTGCCCTCAATGCTCTTTGCTATCAGGTGAAATTGAACGATCTTCAACATGTGAGTGATCTCTGGGCTCAGGTGTAATCCATCTTTTTGAGAGTAACTATTCATACAACCATCCACACAGCAGACAACATTTCATTCATGGCCATATTATTCAAGTGGAAACAGTCCAGTGCAAAACCTGCAGACCGCACTGAGCGTGGAGTTATCGGCTACTTATAGAAGTGTGAAAACTCGCAGTCCTTCCCCGCAGGTGAAATTGCTATCTCAGTTTGATGGAATTTTCCTGACCTGTTGTTCGAAGGCACCCAACATTGGACACATATTTTATCCTCCTGTGTCCACGACCAGTGTTGATGGTTTGTTAGGAAAGGTGATAAAGTATGAGGTTCTATCCTGCTTCAAATCCCTATTGAGCAAGACAGTGGTTAAATACAGATCACCGGATTGGCACAGTACTGGTCTTACAGCTGAGCCGGTTAACCGACTGAGTGTGAATACGTTTGAGGACTTTTGACGTCATTTAAAGAGACATCTACGTGAAAATCGATTTCATGCATTTATAGAGTAGAAAATGTTTTGCCCACATGAAAAATGTACAGATTTTCACATTCCATGTCGAAGCACAGCCTAAAGTGAGCTGTTCTTGCGAAAGTAAAACACGATGTTTTTCTCTTATCTAACCCTATTCCCATTTTGTATAAACGGATGAAAAGTATAAAACATCTTAGAAATATACTTGGCTTTCCATGCGAAATAAATATGGTTGAGAAAGACAAGATTCAGCTTCACTAACATTTTCTCCGTAATTACATAGGTTGTGAGATAAGCTCCGACAACCATAAGACGGAAGCTCTATCAGCCTGCCTACTGGATCAATGTTGCCTTAGCTACAGACAATGCTGATCGTTGCGCGCAACACTGGGAGCTAAGGCTGTTTAGCCACCCAAACCGGCTAGCCAAAGCACGATGCTGATTGGCTTACTTTCAAGGTCATGTTGGAAGTCACTTGTTAAATGTTCAATTGGCTCTGACCGCCTGTGTATCGTTCCGGTTAAACATGGGATGATTATGATGATCGTGTGCTTACTGGCGTGTAATTCAGTTGCCGTTCCAGGGGCAGCTGAACGGCAATGAAACTGGTTGGTTTCAGGTTCTCTGGAGAACCGGAATTTACAAACGGAAGTAACGGAACATCGTGTACCGATTCATTGTGTAGGTGATCAGAATGAGTTTCCGAAAACGGCGCTCTTCTGCCACACTACAGTTGGATGAGGCTTCAAGGGTGAGTTGCGAACGATGGCATTACCATTTTGCTGCTGTCTGATGAATGTTCCTTCACTGGCTAGCGAAAAAATACCCTTCAAATTGTTTTCCACATTAACAATGCACTTTCTATAAAAAGAAAACGTCAAAATCACCCTTCGATCAAGTTAATAAATATGGACAGCCAGTCCCATTACTATTTTTGTCATACGTTGCAACCGAACCAGCCGTATTCCCACGATTTGGTTTGACATTGAATGACCTAATTTTTGGAAGGTAGCGGCATCCAATAGCAATAATAATCCACGATCGATTGTGGTCCTTTGTTGGTCAATGCCCAACGAGCTGCGTCCGAACAGCCATAGAAATTGCTCTCACTCCCAGCTTTGTACGTGAAGTCAGCCGGCCTGATTATGTCCTTTTCGACACATATTGGTTTTTACTGATGGGCATCCTTGCGTGTAACGGAGGACAGTTGTCCGAACAAAAGTGAGAAAAAATCAGCTTACATCCAAATCAATGAAGATTCAGTGTTTTTGATGCGGAGGTTATCCGGTCTATCGAAGAACGCTAGTACCAAGGTGAAGTTTGTACCCTGGAAAGAGCGCCTTGCATTTGTGCCAAAATTAATAGAAACATGAAAATGGCCAGATGAATTAACGTGAAATCCGCTGACAGCCTACCGTCTGTTCCGTTCGGCTTGGGGCTGTTGTCATCAATTGAAGTCAGCTTAGACGTAACATGCTACCTAAAAGATTGAAAACTCTTTGGCCTGTTTCCGCCCTACTTTAAACAAACGAGGTTCAATTCATTTTCACTGGGACTGAATGTATCCCTCGAATCTGGAGATGGATATCGATGGCGATTCGGTCATTGAGTCATGATGTGTGTAGTGTCATGTCTGAATTGGAAATGCTTCAAATTAGCTGTGCTCATACAGGGTGGAAGCAGAACAGCAAAACACTGAAAATGTTTGATATGGATTCATGTGATATGAGCAGAAAGACGCGAAATAAACAACTCTTTTCTAAGCGGATATTTTGGCTTGCTTTGCTTCACACTCGTTTCTGTGATCCTCGCATATGAGCATCCGATGTCAAAATTTACGCGCTTGATTATACAGAATTCAACACTTGGATTTTTTTTTCAAATTTCCGAGTGGTTACGATGTTTGAACTATTTCGTTCTTCTTTCTAAGATTTAGGTATCTGTGAATTCGCCAACAAACTTGCCGATTTTAAATCAATTCTTCATTCTGTAGATTAGTGTAATCGGTTCCTTCATCTTCGCCTTTCCCCGGCAGAAGGAACATCAAGCTTCATTGGAAGTGTTACTTGTCAGAACTCTGCTCCAGAGACTACCAGAGTTGAAATTTTATTCGTAGATTCATACAGTGAAATTTATGACGTATAGTGGCGATTCACAAGACGTTTCAAACTGTGCTTCACAGAAACTCACTACTTGACCGAAAGCTTGCAAAAGGTGCTTCCTGATCAATGAGTTAGCTGTTAGGCCAGTTAACACTAGAAAGCCGAGATCGTCAGGTCGATGAGTTTTATTTTCATATACGTGTGAAATTCACTGGAAGGTCGCAAACTAGTAGTTGCGAGTTTCCGCGTCACATTACCCACCGACTGAGTTCCATGTACGGTAGTGATGCGGCTATTCTTTCTCGAACTATAGTCTTTCAAACGTGTGCATTCCACTTAAGTTTGAGAAAGTGACCCGGCCATCGTGTGTGAAAAATGGTAGAATAGCTTCCAGTTTGTTCACTTTCAAGCTACTGAATCGATTTCTTGTAAGTATAAAAATACGCGAACGAAAAAGTCGACCAAACTACCCGGAAATAGATGACAATGGTTCGCTGGTGCGGCCTTTGGAATGTCAACTGATATCTAACCGACACCCGACTGAAGGAGGCAAACCGTGTGAACACCACTCAGCGGAAAGTGCATGAGTGAACTTTGGCTCTAAAAGGTAACCTTTTGGTTTCTGATTATTTGGTGTTTCCGATTCAGTGTATAGACAAAATCATGTGATCGGATCTGAGATCCGCAAATGATTCTGAATGTAGCCAAGTCAAAAACATGTGCGGAGAAACAAAGAGTTGCATTTTTAGTTGCTGACGGAAGACTCAGACAAACCCTGGCTGAAGCTCTTATCTATAATATTTTTTCATTGAATATGCTGCACAAACGGCGTCTCTTGTTTCGACTGATACGATACCCAATATACTGAATTGTCTTTCTGGGAGTGACACTGCATAAAACATTGGTGTGACCTACGGACAAGTCATCATTGATTTCCAATAGAGGTTTCGCCCTGTACGTGAAATCAGCCTATGTTGAGGAGCCGATAAGCACTGTAAAGCCGTTTCATCATTATTAGTAAACGTCAGCAGTGCGTACCTACAAAACTCAAGGGATTTCGAACTCAAGATTTCCTGGCTAGTAGTTTGAATACTTGACCGTTCAGCCAAGTGGGTGCGATTGACTTGAACGCAGAAGGGATGCAGTGCCATTCATCTTTCAATCACGGAATCCACATCACCTGGTCACTTCTTGACAAGCTCCTTCAGTGATGGCTTGTCAGATGTAAGTCTAACTCATCTTGTGAAAGTATTCTTCATTTGAACTAATTATGAGATGTTGGTAATGTGAGGTGCCTTCGGAAAGTTCATCTCACCCTGTTTATGAACCTAGTCTATTCCGAAAAGCCAAGAAGCACTGTAAAGCTTTTTCATCGTTTTTGGAAGTCACCAGCCTATCGCACGTAGCATACTATTAAGGAAATTTAAAACTTGCACGAGTGTAATATACTACTCATGAGGTTGCTGAAGATTCTTCGGCAGCCCGTGACCGGTTTGCTTAAAGCATCATAAATGATAGATTCAGCTGGGTTCTAGGTGAAAAATCACGTTTGTATGCAAATAGGTGTATTTCGCAAATGTAGAACTTCCTTTCATACGTTGTGATATCAGTTTTCGCCTAATTACCGTCTACCAACACAAATTTGTGGCTTTTCTAATGCTACACGGGAAATTCTCCATTTTGTTGGTTGTGCAACTGAATGTCTCTAAAGACGTTTAAACTATGTTGTGCGGAAACCATCTTAGTGATTTCGACTCGGGGATGAAAACATAGTAGCGCATCAAACTGACAAGTTCTTTCAGCTATATTATGTATGGTTCATACTACTCACACGCTGCGAACTTCAGTAAAAGAACGTTAACCGCTGTGCTAATCCATGGTGCCGTTCGTATTTGCAACTGCTGTGCACTGTCCAGGAAACTGAGAATGACGGCATGGGGGATCTTTAAGATCTTGCAGTCACTATCGTTTGATTCTGCTTTTGGGGAACAACAGTAAGCCGTAGATGACAGTCACGGTTCGGATTCCCACTAAAACTGACTAACTGTATGCACTTAGTCGAATGCATGACTTTTGCCGACTAGTTATAGGATCATCAGTGCTTTTATCATGCTTCTCAGGTCAGCATAGCTTAGTGGTTGTGGCGCCAACTTACTGGCTGGCACGTCTGTGGTTCGAACCCAACCTCAGCATCTCGACCGCTCCTGTCAGGGCTTGGGCAAACAGGCACTACCTCAGTCCCCTTCGGTTAGAGTGTAAGATGTGCACCGAAAGGGAGCTATTCACTATCGACAAACTAGTGCTGGTCGTTGGGCACACTTTGTACCAACTGAAGCAAGTTGCTGGAGAGCCGCCCATGCGTTCAGCTGGCCAGAAGTGCCCCCGTCTCCAACACAAATAGCGCAGGCACCGAGCCAGCTATACACTCTTCATCAACCTCAGTAAAACTATAAAATTCCAATCAGCTAGCACATGAAGCCGACTGGTGGTATGAGAAACCACTCTTGTTTTAACCCAGGCTTAGCATGCATTGAGTGAGAAACTCACTTTCCTCTAACTCAGTCAAGGCCCTTCTTTGCGTACACACCTATACGACCTTGCCCTGGACCGTACAAGCCGTGAGTGAGGTATAGTGAGCAATTCACTGTTGACCTACTGGAGTGGGAAGTCACTGTAGCCTTCAGTTCATGAACTTACCCCACCGCCCAACTCGTCAAAATGAGTATATAAATGACAGGAAAACAACTGTCGTGGCCCCCCTTTGATCCCGTTTTTAGTTCGAGTTTTCTACCGCCAACCTGGTTCAGCTTTTCTCCATCACTTCTATTCGGTCTTGCTGAGAACACTGTGGAAGGTGCGTTGTAACCTGCCATGAATCCAAGACCAACCGAAGTGCATATTTTGGATAATAATAATAATAATAATAATAATAAGAGGCAACCGCACGGGATTGGGATCTAACTCATTGCTGAAGGCAACCATCCTGTGAATTCCCTTAATGAGGGATCTATCTTCAGTGTAGAAGATAGATCTATAGTTTACAGTTATTTTGCCGTCAGTGTTCACTACTAAACATTTCGTGATGATTTTCATTTGTAGGACTGGACAACAAGCATCATATTCGGATACCGAGTTAGCGACAATCTGCGCACATAGCCGGTAAAATTGTAGCTTGCACAATGAATTTAGTCCCAACAAATGATTTATTACCATGTCTGGCGATGCGTTATCGTGCTTCGTGTACTTCAGCCATCAGCCGATCGGAGTTTCTATCACGTGATGCAGATCGCCTGTTGCATTTGTCTGGTAGATGGGAGTGAACACTCTTCGTTGGGTCTTGAGGTTGGCTTTTGTTAACTAGCATTTCAGTAAACAGCAGTTGCGTGTGCGGGTAGCATTGAGTGCCAGACATGCACGTTGTCTTTCAACCACAACGTTTATCACTCGAAGCGACGTTCGTTAGACGGTCGTTGGGAATTTTTTTGGTGGTCCGGCACATCTGTTCCAAGTTTGCTCGTAGGAGGTGGTAGTGACTATATTGTCTGAGGTATGGCACGACTCGTTCACCCATTTGAAGTTACAGTTATGCTTGAGTGAAATGTGCTCCTTCATAGGGTTGGGCAACTAACAACAACCACAAGATCATCCC